TATATATATATATATATTATACCATCCTCGGGTGAGGATTAAAAAAATAAAATGGCCGTAACTGGTTTGGCTCAGTGGATAGAGCGTCGGCCTGCAGACTGAAGGGTCCCGGGTTCGATTCCGGTCAAGGGCATATACCTTGTTGCGGGCACATCCCCAGTAGGGGGTGTGCAGGAGGCAGCTGATCGATGTTTCTCTCTCATTGATGTTTCTAACTCTCTATCCCTCTCCCTTCCTCTCTGTAAAAAAAAAAAAAATCAATAAAATATATTTTTAAAAAATAAAATAAATAAAATAAAATGCAGCTTCTGACCCAGCAGGCCTGGGGTGAAGCCCAAGATTCTTCATCTCTGCCAGGCTCCCGGGCGATGCCTGTGCTGGTCAAAACCATATGCTGAGTGCAGTTCTAGAACCACAGGGACCAAAATGGGCACCACTATCCCCTTGTGGCCAATTGAGCTCTGTATGTGGCTTGTGCACAATAAAAGGGACCAAAAGTGTAAAGTACACACAGGCATTCAAAAACAATACCAAAAAAAAGGAAAATATTGCATTTATAATTTCTATATGATGACATGCTGAAATGATCATGTTTTTTATATTTTGGGTGAAATAGAATCTATCAGTAAAATCAGCTGCACCTGTTTCTTTTTCCTGTTTCTAATACAGCCACTAGAAAATGTACAAGGACACCTGTGGCTGTGTGATACGTCTACTGGACTGTGCCACTCCCAGACACTTGGCTCTCCTACAACTCATCGGGGGTTTGGGGGGTGGAACCACCTCAGTCATTACCCTTGAGTGTATGCGAGGGCCTGTAAATTGTGCAAGGCCCTTTGAGAGGTTGGATGAAGTGCATTGAAGAATATAGCCCCCTCCCTCCCACCCCTAGCAAATAAAACTTGTACACAGGCAATGCCTAGGTTGAAGCATATAGTGAAAGCAGGCCTAACCATGGAACTGCGAGTGAAAACATTCTGAACAACTTTAAGTCGAGATTTTGCAGAGAAAACACAACCTAAGAGGTCAGGGTGAAAAGGCAGGGGTGAGGCTGGGTCTGCATGGCTTTGGTGACAGGGGGACGAAACGTGTCTGTTCTGCATTTGCTCTACTTGACAGCACGGTTCTCACTGCCCTGAGTCACATTCCAGCCCCAGCACCCCCAAAACCAGAGGTTCCCGAAAGCAAAGTCCCAGGGCAATCACTTGGCCTTGCTGCAAGCAGACACAGGTCTGAAGATGGCCATCTAGTCAGAAGTATAAGAAAAGGTCAGTAAGCAGGCAAGAATTCCAACCCATTCCTTCTGCAGGTCACAAAGCAATCAGCATCACCTAAAGGCTAATTATTCAAACTCTTCCAATTCCATGTCCAAGATGGTTCCATCTGAGTGAATGGCCCTTTCATGTAAGATGCTCGAAAAGTTCATGAGGGTGGGAAAGGATACCCAACACACCCTCCTCCTTAGGAACACACAGTTTCTTTACTTGAAGCCACAGGAAGGTATTACCCGACCCTAAGAGCCGCAGCTCCTCCTGCTCTGTGGGACCGTGATTCGTCCTGGGCCCGTTCCCACCCTGCACCTGCACCAGACACCAGAGGGGAGGGAAGCTCTGGTGGACACATGGACAAGTTGATATGAGAGCAGGCACACCTTTCAACATCATGTGGGCACGTTCTCGCTCCTGAAAACTCCGCATTACAGACAAAGGAGCAAAGCCGCCTTGTCCTGGGCCAGCCCAGTGCTCCCCACCTCTCCCATCACGGGCCCACCCAAGCTCCAGACAATACTGACCAGGTTTTATTTCCAGCAGCCGCAGCTTCGGATCCTCAGGAGGGTGCAATCTTCTCTTCTTTCGCCAGCAGCGCGCGGGGTATGTGTACAGCTGGCCCGGAGCAAGGCCTGTGGACAGAGACAGTGTAAAGATTAAAGGCTCCAGACTGGAAGGGGCCTAGGAAACCACGCTGGCTAACCGTCTCACTCACAGGGAAAGAAGCCCAGAGTGGTGAAGTGACTTGTCAAGGTCACACAGCTGATAGATGGTAGAACCTAGGTCATCTGACCCCAAAACCCTTGCTCTGTCTACTCCACCGTGCTGTCTCCGCGAGCCCAGGCCAAAAAGAGCCATCACTTTAAAAAGAGCCATCACTTTTACCAAAACCAGTTCTATTTTCCTGGCCTGGGGAGAAGGTCAGAGGGACCTGTGGACCTATGGACCACAAGAGGGACCTTTCCAGATTCATAGTCACCAGTGTTTCCAAAGCAACGGATCTCAGCTACTGCCCATCGACTAGCCCTCTGCGCAAGTCAAGCAAGTTCCCTTCAAGGTGGAGCAGAAGTCAGTCTGCCTATCAATGGTCAGCCCAGATTAGAAAACATTGCAAGGAAACAGGATCAAGGAGCCAGACCTCCTACCTACTGGCTTCCTCCACCCAGTTAGCTGCTGGCAGCTCGCTGAAGCCAAAGGGAGCCCTGTGCAGCCTCCATAAGAATACAGGCCTGCTCTGGTGACCACGATGCCTGCAAAACCAGCAAACCTGTATTTCCCCACCTACCTGCCTGGGTCCAATAGAACAAAATAGGCAGGGGTCCTATGGCTGGGCTTATGCACCCATTGTCTCCCAACAAGATTCTCCACTTTAATTGGCCTTTGGCACCAAAGTCCCACACCAGCATCATCTGTCATGCCAAGTAACCCATGAGGAGCCTTCTTGCTCATTAGGCAACACTCTTATGGCTCCTGTGACACAGAGTGTGGCAGCCAGAAGCCTTGGAGGACCATGGACTCCCCACACTAGACCATGGTCTCTTCCCAGAGAAAAGAGCAAGGGGTAGAGGCTGAGGGGTGAGGGAGAAGGGCTTGAGACTGGTTAGGTGATCTGCAGACTAAAAAGACTACCTGATACACCCCAAAATAAACCAGCCAACTAACCCACCCCTGCTAGAGTGAAAAGATTGGCAAGCAAAGGGACTTAGTCTTGTTCCTCTCAGAATCCCCAGAACCAGAACTGAACCTGACACACTGAACAATCAAACTAAATATCTGCTGAATGAATTAATGAACAAATATGTTCCAGCTTCACTTTAATTGGGGTCACAATTCAGTCCTCTGTAGATAAATATGGCACATGACAACTGTTAGATGCAGGCAACTTCACATGAGAGGGTCCCTTCCTAAATCTAGAGCCATGGGGTTCAGACATCAAGACTACATCCCCATGTGTCTGCCATTTGGGGGCCTTTAAAAGTTAAGCGGGCCTGGCTGATGGCTCAGTTGGTTGAGCGTCGTCCTGTGCACCGAAAGGTTGCCAGTTCAATTCCTAGTCAGGGCACACACCTGGGTTGAGAGTTCAGTCCCCAGTCAGGCACATACGGAAACAATGGATGTTCCTCTCTCACATCTAAGTGTGTGTCTCTCTCTCACATCTAAGTGCCCCCCCCCTCTCTCTCTCTCTCTCTCAGCATGTCCTCAGGTGAGGATTTGGAGAGAAAAAATGTTAAGACGGACACTGGCTTCACTTTTTGCCTTTTGCAGGAAAAAAAATAAAAGTCAATAGAAATGTCTGCTATATACCCATTTATTCATTTTTCATTTTTACTAGTCATCGCTGCCCGTTTTTTGGTTTGGGTTCAAATCAGAGGCACCTATTCCAGCACTAAAGGAACCAAATTTTTCAAATTCTCTTTATGAGCTAAGTTTTACTTTTAATCACAAAGCTGCTCCCACAGGTCGTGAGGTTATGAACAAGTTGGAGGTCCCTAACCCTCCCCCTTTTGATTCTTAGAAACCATTAAGGTGATGGAGCCTGGTGTTATGAGCTAAGAGCTTGTCATGTACAAGAGTCATCCTAATACTAATACTTGATTTTGTTGATAACTTCACGGCCTCTGCACAGTAGGAGTATCCTGAAGTTCTGAGCTCCTTGCACTCTGGGAACCAGACCTGTGCCAATGTATAGATGACCAAATTAATCAGATAAAGTAAGATTGCTCTACTTCCCCTGGAGGTCCATTTTGGACCACTCTTTGAGGGAGGGCATCACTGGGGAATAATTCGATGTTTCTGGTGTGGTTTGGTCCCGGACCATATCATCTCTGACTCTGTAATTCCTGAACGGGCACACTAATTCTTGGTCCCTTACAAGAGTTTTGGCCATCTCTTGGGCTGGTGTATCCAGTGAAGGCCAAGCACGTGGGCTGACCTGCTACTCCCTGTTCCAGAACTAGTCCCACCAATGCCCACTCCTCTTCGGTCAGAAGCTCTTAATCCAAACTAAAACCAAAGTCACCTGAAGAACTTCTTAATAACACCAATAGCCAAAATTCATGCCAGACCTACCCAATCCAAATGTAGGTAGGTGGGGAGATTGGGCAATTTACTTTTTTAAAAACCTTGTAGATGGTTCCAATGTCTGAGAGAGAACCTCTGGATGTCTAAGCATCATCTAGTTACTGCCTGGATGTTCTCCCTGATGTACTAAGACTGGTTGAATGACCTTCTCTGTTGGATCCCAACATTCCCCGTGTTTCCCCCAAGGTATTGTCATTCATTGCCTGCTTACTGGACTGTCTCCCCTACTAGTTTTATAAGATTTAGGATGGCAGCAACTATGTCCATTTGGAGTATCCCCAGTGCTTTGCACAGTGCCTGGCAGGTACTTCAAGAAATACCAAATAAGTTCAACCAGAAATGAACCAGACTCAGAAATACAGAAAGTGAATGACCATTGCCCCTGTTCCTGACTCCAGGAGACTCATCTACCCACAACCAAACTATCCAAAAGGGACCCCAGGAGGTGGGTTCAGAATTGAACCCCGACCCACCCCAGCATGGTAGTCTCTGTACCTTAGACTCTTTCTCTCCCACAGGCTGTTTCATGGTATTTCCAACCTGACCAAAAACATACGAGCGAGAAGGAACTGGTCCAGACCAATTCTTTCAAAAGGTCTAAGTAACAAAAGGTCAAAATTGTCAACATTTTTCCAGAGCCTATGCCCTCCTTGAGAATGTGGTCACTGCACCTTTTGGTCAGCAGCAACAGGCAGCCCCAGACCACTCAGCTTGTAGCTGCAGGCCCACTCGCCTGGGAGAGTCTATTTTAGTAAGTAGTTTGAATGTCCAGAAGAGGGGACACTTTTTATTTAATTCTCTCACTTTCCCTGATGGGTTGGAGAAGCTCCGCAGCGCAGAGAAGAGCACATGAGTCTGTGCACCGCCATTCCCTGTCACCTTGAGAAATGTCACACTTCTCTGAGACTGCCTGCTCACCTGTAAGGTAAGGCTGTTAATAGCACCTACCTTATAAGGACTGTCATGGGGATTAGCTTATATTCAAGAAGCAGCTCTTTATCATCATGAAGCCTTGTACAAATGTCAGTAATTATTACGAGTTAGCTGACTTAAACGAGTCTGGACTCCACGCCCACGTGACATGAGAAGGCCTCGCACCCACATGTCCAGGCTGCTCTTTGCTTCTGTAGCCACGAGAATGGAAACAGGCCTCCCTTGAGGTCTTTTTTGACTCCACCTCATCTCAACAGGCCTATAGCCCCAACAATTCTCTGGGGGCTCCTGTCCCCCTTCCTCACCCTCCTCCTTAGGCTGACAGGCACCAGGGTGCCTTTATAGGGTCAATGCATTCAGCTCCGGAGTTCCACTTAGAAAGGGATGAACAGAGCCCCGTGAGAGTTATGTTGTTTATCTCATTAGAACAGGAGGCACATAACTCAGAGCCCATGTGTGTGGTAGGTGGAGGAAGGAGGAGGGGAAGGCAAAAGGAGGGTGGAGTCACCGCTGCAGCCTGGGAAATTAAGCTGAAGGAGTCAGCCTGAGGCTGGGGGGTGGGATATAGAGGAGAGAAAAGGGAGACTAGAGGGCAGATCAGTCCTCTCTGGGAACCAAGGCCCTCCATCCCACTAAGTAAACTGCTTTCCTGTTACTTTTAGGTGCAATGACAGTTACAACACTCATTCGTGTGCAAGCATCTCACACATACACACACACAGGAACTCACACACTTGCTGGAGGGGTTGGGGAGTACTGGCTCCATAGAAAAGTTTAGCAGGATGGACGATGCCTCTATGATCAACAGAGTCAGACAAATTGCTTGCTACCAGCATCGCCCAAGTTCAGCAGGTGGATACTTAGTGTCAGGAGCATCTTTGAAAGCATGAACTATTAAGAACTCAGAAGATGAAGTGGGATAGAAAAGGGAAGAAAGGATAATATGGGATACGAACAGAATTTTAAAAGATGGACTGTAATAATTTCCTTTACTCCCACCCAAAGCGGAGCGGTGACAGGTCAAGCCCACCCAGAGAAGGGCTCTCCCTGCAGCACCTCCCAGGCAGTGCTTCTCTACCTTCCTAATGCCGCGACCCTTGAATACAGATCCTCATGTTGTGGTGACCCCCAACCATAAAATGACTTTCGTTGCTACTTCATAACTGTAATTTTGCTACTGTTATGAATCGTAATGTAAATATCTGATATGCAGGATGTATTTTCATTGTTCGCGACCCACAGGTTGAGAACCGCTGTCCCAGAGGTAAACCCGCAGCTGCTAGTGAACCCTCCTTGCCATGGAAAACTCATTACTTCACAGAACAGATTTACCACAGTGGGCCAATTCTTACTATGATAGAGTTTGCCCTGCTAGTCTTTTGAAGCAAAATCTGCCTTCCTGTAACTTATGCCAATTTGTTCACCTTCTGTCCCAAAAGTGGACAGGTGTCATCTGCATCCCATCCAACCCATCCGCCCACCAGGGTATGAAGGAGAGCTAACTGAGAGTCCAAGGAACTAGAGGGAAACAGGAGTTGGAGGAAAGAGGCAGTGACTACACCTGCCCATGAGCCAGAAGTTCTTCACCAAGACGGGCATCACAACTGCATCCGTAGTT